CCCCATTCACACAGCACACAGGAACAGCTTTCAATTACAGGCTGTGCCCTACCTGTCACCTTTTTTCCCCTGGTGTCAGGAAAACATATCAGAAGTGACTCATGCAGACAGCAGAAGATCCAGGCAGCAGAGAGAAATGACACTTAGTGCTCTGGATTGGGACATGTGCACTATAGAGTGATATGCTTTGTTCATATTTTATGTCAAAGGTTTACAACCACTTTAAGCGTGAATATTTCTGTCATGTTTTTATTGCTGTCTGTGACTTTGTTGGGGAGACTTCACCACAATTCATGCAACAGGATGAGAAAGTAGGACAGTGGTTGTCACCAGACAAGAGGACACAGACAACCATTGTAAATTGACAGGGGTTGTAAACCACTTCCCTGCATCTAAAATGGAGACTGCAAGTAGATGTAAGCAACGTCAGCAGCAAACAAACCATCTAGATTGACATTAGACAAACCCACCCCTTTAAATGCTCACAGGCCAGCCTGTATCCTTCTCATTTCCTTGCATTCACCTGGATGTCAAAGCCCTGAAGTCCGATCTTGCTACATTGCAATCTACTATTCAAATGTAGCTCTCGCCCCCCCCCCCCCCGAAGAGGGGGCTGCTAAGAATAGACAGGTTCTCCCAAGTAGTACAGATGCTGATGGTCACACAAGCAAGGTCCTAAGCACACTGACACATAAAGCTTAGTCTAAAGTCTAGGTCTTGTTAGTATTTATTACTGAAGAACTTCAACAGGAGAGGGGTTTAAGGTCACAGGATACTCCAAAACGATTAGTAACAATGGTAACAAACTTCCCTTTCTCTGATCATCCAAAGCAGCTTTTCTGGAGGTAGCATTAATATTCAAAGAAATAAAAAGAGGCCTGATGTATAAATATACTATTTAGACTGACCTTTTTTTGGGAAATACTAATCAACAAACACCAGCAGAGATGCGCTGAACCCAAACACCAAAACATAACTTATTACACATCTATATAACACACATGATATAAGGAGTATAAAGAAGGCACAAAAAACTGCCAGGTGTATGACATTACTTAAAGGGCAATATGGGTCTAGTGTAGGGGCATACTATTATAGTCCTGGAGGGTATATACAATTACCTCCATCCAAAAAGGAGATAACCAGCCATGTCACCAGACAGCAGATATATTTTCTGCTGTTAAAAACTGATACTGTCTGGATGTAGGAGTGTATCTGGGGGGTCAGTATCCTGACCAAACCTGACTACCTAAAGGCATGGCCTAATGCTAGGGGATCACAGTGGCTACTGAAAGGCTTGACTGCCTGCCTAAAATCCAACATGCCACAGTTCCCATTCCAGCCTGGTAGAAATTCTGTCCGAATTCACCACTACCTTCTCCAGCACAAAAAAAAACTCCTTTATGCCTCCTGCTGCATAGACTTGTTTGCCCCACTGAAAGAGGTGCACATTCCAAGTGAAAAGTGAAATAAAAATTGCCAGATAAAAAAAAAATCCTCAAGCCAACATGTTCTGCCTCTAAATAGGATTCATCAGGAGAGCAACATGTATAATTGTGTTAAGCAGAGGCAAAAGTAAGCAATCAAAATCTCAGCTCAGACGTCCTGGTCAGAACAAACAATCAACAACTACTCCACTCACTACAATGGAGCCAAAAACTAAATTTACCTAGCAGCCTAACTAATAGGGCACTACACAAATATTCAGCACACCAAAGATTCTCAATTCCAGCTAAGGTTTTTTGCAATGACAGGAATCCGCTCAATTCTCTCAGAAAGTGATATGCTGCCATTGCAATAAACCTTGGCTGGAGTTGAACATCTTTGGTGTGTGGCCCATTATTTAGATCTTGACTGGCATGTTCTAAAATGGAAACTCCCTATGTTTAGGCACAACACTATATTTTTTAACTTGCAGCTCTTACTGAAGTGCATGGCTTTTTAGGCACCATTCAGTGCTATTCAATTTGAAAGAGATGCCCATAGCAAAAGGAAGAAAAAAGAAAATAGTGCAGGGCAGACATGACTAGGTTAAGAGGGGGGTAGTAAAGACAGGAAAGGGTTAAAAGAAAAAGGTGGGAGTTAGAATATGGGCAAGTTACCTGACTGGTGCAGGGTGGGGTCTTCAACACCTTTGGGTCTGGATGGGGAGGGTCCTCAGTTAAATTCAGGAGGAGACAGCGGTGAGCGAGCTTCCCTCCCGCCCTCCCTTGGGGTTGTGCAGGTATTTTGTCAATTCCCGGGTTTTTTGTTCTGGTTCTGGAGGCAGTTGTTGGTCTTTGGAGGTGGCACTTATTTTGGAGGGAAAGCTAATGGTTTGGGACCCATCGGTGGTATGGTGTGCCCGGGTGCATGCCAGTTAACCGAGGTTTAACTGGAAGGTGGTAGCTCTGCACTGCGGATGGTATGTTTTTGTCTCTGAGCCGGAGGGTTGTGGCTGGAGGCCCAGTTATAATATAGGTTCCACAGGAGGATATCGGTTTTGGTATGGTGCCTTCAAAGACCAATAACTTCTCTTACATGTTTCTCTTTTAAGGAATTTTTTGTGTATTGAAGTTGAAGTGTTAATAAAAGGCTATGTTGGCCATTGTACTCCAATCGGTATTATGTTTTTCTTTAATAGAATGTTAAAGGGGTATGTGAGAGAGTGAGGTGGCTGGAGGCCCAGTTATAATATAGGTTCCGCAGGAGGATATCGGTTCTGGTTTGGTGCCTTCAAAGATCAATAACTTCTCCTATATGTTTCTGTTTTAAGGAATGTTTTGTGTATTGAAGTTGAAGTGTTAATAAAAGGCCATGTTGGCCATTGTACTCCAATCGGTGTTATGTTTTTCTTTAATAGTATGTTAAAGGGGTATGTGAGAGAGTGAGATGGTGGTGTAAGGGGTCTTGACTACCTATCTCTTGTGCACTAGTCATGGTATCCAAATGCACCTAGTTATCGCACCACATCACATGTGCATTTAAGCGCAGATGTTACAATTGTGCATGAGGCATTGTGAATGTAAAATAACACTTAAAATGACACACATTAAAGCAATGCTGTCAGGTGAGCCGAAAATATAAATGAAAGATTTCTACCACAGAAGAACTTTTATACTCACCTTTCCAGCGGCCCGTGTCTCTTACATCCCCTCTGTTGCAACACAGCAGCCTCCATCTGTGTCTTCAGCATTCAGTTTATCCAGGATGTTGAATGGCTGTGTTCCCCTCCAGATATTGCAGTTCCATCCTCTGACCCCTATATTACTACAGGACACACCAATGACGTAGGGAACCAAGAGGATAGGACCACGGTGAACTGCCAAAAGTGTCAAAATGCCAAAAACACTAATGGGGGCTGCAGTACAAAAGGACATTTATTGCATGAATTTTTTACTTTTTTGTATTCTTTTAGCTGATATAAGTTAAATTGCCTGTCAACTTTATTATTAGAATGATTTGTTTGCTGCTTATCACTGCATTAAAATCTGTTTACAGACAAAACAAAGTCCCCTTCCCTCCCTGCTTGTGCTTGGTGCATTGTTCCTCATTGGAGGAAATAGACATATGGGTGATTTGCCATACTAACTGACAAGTTCTGCATTGACTTTGTTCCCTGTAGAACTTCCTATTCTAAAAATATCACAAATGCTTCAAATGGTGTTTGTAATATATTCAAACCAGAAGGCAACGGTAAACATTATTATCAAGTACATGTAAAATCAGGTCAGTATATTAGATTAAATAAAGTTGGTTTAAGTCCTTTCTAGAAGAGTGGATTTTGGTAAAATTTTGTTGTGGAAGTTTTAAACTTGGAGTTTCATTTTAATGTGGCCACCATATCAGACATAAAAAAAAATTCTATAGCTGCTTTAGTTAGTTATTAAATTGGGCTAGCAGTGCTGGAAACAACAACATACTATACAGGAGGAGGGTATGGTAAGCAATATCCTTATAATTTACAGTTAAGCATGTTTTAGGGTATTTTAGAAGGATAATATACATTTCTCCCATAGCACTAGAGAAATCTTAGGGAATTGAACAGTTTATTGTCACTTACAGTAATGTTCTGATATGCTATAGGATATACCTCCTCTACTAGGTAAGGTGCATTGCTTGAGATGTACAATGCAATGTACAATTTCAGATTCATTTACAAAAAATACTTGCCTAAAGCAAATGTCTTAAAGCTGGAATATTACCCTTCTTTTACTCAGTCAGCCATAGGAATATAACAAACTGAACAGATAGATAGATAGATAGATAGATAGATAACAATAGGGGGTACAGGCAGTACTCCTTTGCGGGAGTCCCATTAAAGTGATATTAAAGCTGTCTTTTTTTCCTGTTTTTAATAACAAACATGTCATACTTACCTGCTCTGTGAAATGGTTTTTCTGCGCAGATCAGCCCCGGTCCTCCTCTTCTCGTGTCCCCCACTGGTGCTCCTGGCTCATCCCCGTTGACTAGTGCCCCTAATAGAAAGTCGCTTGCTATGAGGGCACTGGGGCGTGCTCGCTTCTGAGCCCTACTCTATGCATCTATAAGACACATAGAGCCCTAACTCGGCATCATCCCCAGACTTTCTATTCATTGGCTCATTGGCTGTGATTGACAGCAGTGGGAACCAAGGGCTCCTGTGTCTCAGCCAATGAGGAGCGAGAGACCCGGGACAGCTGAAGCTCCTGTGCACAGCTCTGTATCGAGAGGGGGATCAGGTGAGTATTAGGGGGGCTGTGGGAGGAGTAACACACAGAAAGTTTTTTTAACCTCAGGCATAGATTGCATAAAGGTAAAAAAAAACCTTCAGCCCTTATAACCTATTATTATTACTGCACAGGTTAATCTGTTTTCTGCTGGTAACTGTTGTGCTTTCTTCACAGGCTACAACTTTCCTGGCCAACATTTTTTTCATCATTCACAGGCCAGTGAGATAAAACAGGGACTGTTATAAGTTAGGGCTGTATTTATATACTGTTGCTGGCAGGGGCGGACTGACCATTCGAGCACTCGGGCACTGCCCGAGGGCCCGGGATCAGTAGGGGGCCCCATGAAGTGCCCCTGGTACCTTTTTTATAGGCTTTTTTGAGTGTCGGCAAGGACACAGGGGCCCCATGATCCCCTATTGCCCGGGGGCCCCATGAGTTGTCAGTCCTCCCCTGGTTGCTGGGTAAATGCAGTTCAGCTCTGGTAATTACTGCAGAATAGCCAGAATACTATAAGTGTTTAGCTATATATTTAAAAGTAATGTTATTGTCTTATTGATTGTATGAGTACACTTGGTAATCCTCTCTTCTTTGAGGCTATGCTTGGACTGCTTAATTATTTGCCCTGTCAAGCCGGACATCTCGTAGGAAGCCCAATCTCTGCTGACACCACTGTGCTCTGCTGACCAAAATAATCACACCTATAAAAATCACACACAGAGTATTATAAACCAAAATGAAGTTTATATTGGATTTGGGGTCAAGCATAACAAAATAATACGGGTATTGGCAGCAAATCTGGTCACTCTTGGCAACTATGAGCAAAAGTAGCAACATTCACAATAAAACAACAGTATGTTAGCAGGCGTGCTTTCAGAAATAATCCATTGCCTCCAGTCTGAGGGGACTATTGAAACCCCAGTGAGCAGGAATGACTATCAATAACAGATAAACTGGGTCCTCAGAACTAGATAACAAGGATTAAATGTGAAATAAAGAGAATTCTCAGTTATAATTGGTAGTGTCCGCTTTAAGAGCGCTATAATGTCTTCTGCGTGCTTGTGGGGCCCAATTGATGTCAAGTTGCGTCAAAGGGTGGATGGTAGTTCCTTAGAGTTGCCACATCAAAGATAGTGAAGAAAATGAAAAAAATTTTAACATTTCTCTGATTAATGGTAAAGAATTAGTGCAAGGTTCCCTTTAAGAGCTCTAACCTTAAACTGAGCTTGAAGTTGTAAATAGCATCAATTGACATAAATGTCTATGGACAAAGACAACTCCTCTGAATGTCAAAGGTAAAAGATGAACAGTAGTAGGAATCCTGCTCCGCAAAGAAGGAAATGGAATTGTTGATTTAGTTGGCACTGCTGTATCTTGATCTGGGACTGTATTTCCTTGAATGATTGAATGACTGAATGATAACTGTACTGCAGTTATAGTCCAACAATGGTGCTGGTATAACTAGGTCGCAAACTGGGGGCATCAGTATGTAATGTTCACAACTATGTGCCAGCAGATAACTGAGGTGACGACCTATCAATATTCACTTTGCTAGTGCATGCATGGGTCTCTCTCACCCAATCAATGTGGTTTGGCCATGATCAGTCTTTCACAATGGATAGGGACAGTCCACGGGCCCTCTGATTCAGACTCTGTCTCCTGCTGTCAGAGTGGCAGCATAGCAGGCCGGGTGGTCAGTAAGTTCTTTCTGCTCTCTCTCCAATCCTGGCTCTGCGTCCTAGCTCAGCACTTCAGCCATCAACACACCTTGTTCTGCTTCAATCTCCCTCCACATTCTCCTGGCCAATCTCCCGGGCTTTGATATTTAAATGCACATGCCCACACGCTACCTCTCCTAGAAAAATGTAGTCCCAGACACTCCGCTTATCAGCCAAGTCCTGCTATTCAGAAATACAAGTTCCAGTGAGCTGTTCTATCAATGTGAGTAACCCTGAATAGCAGGCCACTGCCATCTAGATAGATAGATAGATAGATAGATAGATAGATCAGCTTAAGTGAATTTAGGGCTGACCCTTTCAGACTCAAGGTACTAAATAACAGAAGATGTAATCATATGAGAGATATAACCGTCTGAGCCAGACAACCCTATCCAAATGTTAAAATGGTAATGCTAAATTTGCTGACTACTTTAGCCACGCGGTTTACTGTTGCAGCGTCGGTGAATGTGTCTTGGTACGATTAGTATGATAATTAGTAGTATGCAAAGGCAAACCAAAATTGAAAAAGAGAGCAGCAAGTCATTAAAAGGTCTCAAGTTAATGGATACCTAAAGGCATATCTGTTTAGGCACAGTTCAATTTAATTTGAAAATAATTGTGGACAGGTTTGCGCAAAATAACTTGTAGGGTACACATAGCTGAAGGCAGATCCAAGTAAAAAACATAAAAATGCAATGCAGAAATTAAAACTGCATTTTAAATGAAAGAATCACCCTGCCCAAAATGGATTTTTATGTTTTTGGTACATAAGATCGCCATCTAAAGTCCAACTGACTTTCCAATTTAAATCAGCTAATGACATTGCAGGTACATCCAAACAAAAGGTCTTTAAGTTTGTTTTCTTTATAAAGCTGCCACAGCTTGAATAGTAAAGACTTTACTTTGCCAGCATGCTGCAGAGAAGGACTTTTGTTGTCTATATGGAAGCAGTGGTACTGTATCTCTGTCGACCCCTGCTGAGCCAGGGGCATAGCGTTCCAATGAGCTATATGTCTGACTCAGTAGGGGGCATTTTGGACCTGCAGAGACCAACACTTCCACACAGATACCAGGGTCCTTTTTACAGTATGCTGATATTGGACAGGCTTTTGTTCCCAAGTTTTGACTGATTTAAACATAAACAACTGTATGACTTTACACACCTTTACACTAAGTTTTTAATTGGGTTTTAAACCACCTGAAAGTCACTTGGGGACTCTATTGGTGAGATTTACAGAATGCAAGAGATGCTAAAACATTCAGAAGTGAAGGGGGAGGGGGGTACCCCAAAACTCCCCAGTTGTCAGGCGAGATCTCATTATGGTAAGAGATCCCACTACTGAAGTATACAAGAAATCATGGTCACATTTAGACCTCCAGGCTCCACCTATATCTAAATATAACTTTAGGGGGGGGCTGCATAAATAAATATGTTGGCTGCATTAGTATTCTGTTTCAGGGCTTTTTTGTTTATTTTCACCTACTGATTCAGCCAATAAGGGCTGGTTCATAACAAAAAAGGTGCATTTACATGAGTGATTTGGCAGGTGCATTGCCAGTTTAAGTTTGGTTCCTCCTGTTGCTATGTCATAAATAGGTTGGTGCCCATATAAATGCCAGCTGTGGGTGGGGCCCAGTCAGTCGGGGTATGGGAAATTAACACCCTAGAGCTGCTAAGATGTAGTTTCACACTGAGCTAATCCAAGGGCCCTGTGCAGGGCAGAATTAACAGGAGACATGGCACCGATCGTAGGACTAGCTGGAGTCACCTTAACTACCCCTGACCTTCTACTACAGGCCCTGTAGCATGACGGGTATGGCTTTGAGGCCTGTAAAAGCATCCTCTAATATAAGTGGTAGCTGAAGACTGGGAGTAGATGTCATCAGGGAGCATGTCGGGCTGGGCAACAGTATAGAAGGGATATTTGGAAGAGACTCGTATACTAATAGAGGAACTTTTTCAACCCTAACCCTCTTCTGTGGGTCCTATGGCTTGGTGGAGCATAGCCTGAGACTGAGGAGCTTAGTATACGTGGGGAAGTGGTCCCAACTCTGTGGTGCTCCCAAGGAGAAAAGTAAAAGGAATAGTGGCCAAATTATGTAAGCTGTGCTCTAGAAAGCCTGCTACAGAATGTTCATTAATACTTCTCGCGTTCCACGCTGGAGGTTCTATTAGTATGTCGAATGTGATATGTCATAGGAAAAAATGTGAAGTTGCACTAAAGTGCTGAAAATACTGAACATCTGAGTGTGGACATTCCTTTACTTCAATTGATAGGCTTCAGGCTGGGAAATATGTGAGAGGGCCTCTGGACAGGAGAAATGTGTCCAAGATAGTGGCTATAAAAAGACAAGTATATGGGTGCTCTATCCGAGAAGAAGCTGGGCAAGACTTGTACAGCTTGGCACTAACATCTGCCCTATCCAGGTCCCCTACATGCATTTGTGCGTGTTTCTGCAAGTTTTTACGTGTTTCCTGATGCCTTATTTTGTGCAGCTCATTAATTCCAATGGGCTGCCAAATGAACAGATATAATAAACCATTTTAAATTATTTTTTTAACAGACTAAAAAAGACAAGTTGATCATTAGGGTTTACTTATACTTTAATGGTAAATACATTTGATAACACTTTTGTATCAATGCGTTAAATACATTATAGGGTAAACTCAAGCAGGTTGGACATCTTATTGGCTTATATTTCTTAGAACTAGAAAAAATATGAAAAGTACTGTAAAGGTCTTACCTTTTTGCCTTTTCTACCCCTGGCTAACAAGGTCATTACTGTTTTGCTTTCTATATACTTAACCACTTCAAGTCCAGACACTTTTACCCCCTTCCTGTCCAGGGCCAATTTTCAGCTTTCAGCGCTATCGCACTTTGAATGACAATTGCGTGGTCATGCAACAATGTACCCATATGAATTTTTTTGCATTTTTTTGAGACGGATAAAACTTTATTTTGGTGGTATTTATTCACCACTGGGATTTTTATTTTTTTTTGCTATATAAATGAAAATGTCTAACAATTTTGAAAAAAAGTGTTTTTTTTTTTTGCAAATAAATAATCTTTCTTCATAAATCTTGGCCAAAATGTATTCAGTTTTCTTTTTAGTAAAAAAAAAATAACCCAAATTAGTTTATAACCAAAAATTCAATTTTTTTACATTTTCACTTTATTTATTTATTTATTTTTACATACTGTCACCCTAGCAGTACAGTGTCACCATAGTGACACGGTACTACTTTTTTTTTGGGGGGGGGGGGTTATGAAGATTTTTTTTTTTTTTTTTTACACTGATTGATTTTACACTCATAAAGGCTTTACACTCATAAAGGCTGTAAAAGCAATCATTCTTGCAGCCACTGAGAAATAATGTGTGAGCTGTGATTGGTCACAGCTTGTCACATGGTACAAGGCTGTTGAGAATAGCCTTCTACCATGTGACCTCTGTGATCATTCACAGATTTCACACGTAGTAAGCAAAGATGTCAGAAGTGACATCTTGCTTGCTACTCTTCATGTGATCACTGATTTGCCAATCAGTAATCACATGATCGGGACCTCACACAGAGGTCCCGTACAACGATCGGTGTTCCACTGTGTCCGGAGGACACAGCGGGCACCGGATCACGGTGCTGCGGGCTCCCAGGGAGCGCCCACAAGCAGGGAGGCCATTTATAAACGGCCACCCGCCCCTGCACTGCTCCTGTCCGGC